TATTGTCAATAACATCCTTTTGGAGAGTGGCATACGAGGTGTCACGCTTAGCAGACGCTTAGTTCAAGCATTCAAGACAACTATCATTTCGATCTCTTCACGCTGCTTTCAAACGTGCTAAAGGTGGAAACCCAGTCAAATAGCTTTTAAATACATGGCAAAACTCGTCATGCAGTGTAACTACATACTATAATGAACTTGAAACGGATTAGCTGGATTTGTTAAGATTATTATCCTTTGCGGACTTTTTGGAGCATTTGGACGAAGGCCTAGGAGTGTAGTCACTGTACTCTTCGGCAAAACGTATAAGTTCGCTTAGGTCGATTTTGCGCCATCTTACTTTACATATATTAAGTGTCATTTGCGCGTCATTCAGTGTGCGCCGGGCACCGGACACAAGTTGACTCAAATGTTCGTCGTAGTATTACGAAAGTTTGAAATAACCTGATTTTAAAGGTTGTGATCATCATTGTCATCAACGAATAAAACTGTTCAAACTTAATGTCGAAGTTTGCAGACCCATAATAGTCACAAGTAATCGGGTATCCATGCAGTAAAGTTTTAACAAATATTGCCGCCCAGAAAAAATGATGGCTGAGAAGCAATTGCCCTTTTGAAATGGCTGCTCCCGCCGCTTCATATTGCTTCCGGCGCCCCTGTTGACTTTTCCAGTTACTTCAGGACTTGTATACTTTCTTCAAGATTCCTCAGATTGATAAGATGAACTGGATATTTCTCTAGCCTTAAAGTAATCTCTAAGATCTGTTGATCCAGAAAATCGTGCTATAAAGACTACATAGCTTCTCTAGAAGAACCAATGGAGCAATTTTCCTAATGGCTTTCATGATGGATGTGTTAAAGTCATTAAATCTTCTCAATTTAATTAATTAATATTCCAAAAGGAAGATAGTAATCTAGGAACAGCACTTAGCACACTTTGTTCTGTAAGAAAAGAAGCTGATAACCTGCTTTGAGAATATGTAGTGGAGCACATTACACACCTAGTCTATCCACAAGAATCTAGTACAATAGATGATGGTTCTTCCCCATCGTGCAGGAATATGTTGTGACGGAAAAGCTTCCTATATACGCGCATTAGCAATAGAAATTATAGATAAGCTTAATGTTGAGTTTGACCATTGATTTAGTGAATTCAACCCGATGGAAGTCATGATCATTTGAAATATTAAAGCCTTCTGACGACCAATTTCTTGAACCAGTACTGCTCGAGCCCATTAAGACGATTCCAGCTGTCTGCCACAAAGTTGCCGAGGTATGTATCTTTTGAGCGTGCAACTCAGAAGCGAGTGTAACGTTTTTCATAGTGTGATGAAGGAAAGTAGAGACAAACAAGAGAAGTTGCATGAGAAGTCACTCGAGGAGAATTTGAAACAAGCAATGGGCAAAAAGGTGGTAAAATAAAAGAAGGAAGACAAGATGACACAGATGACGCGATTTGTTTTAATTTAACATTGGATAGGGCTGAAATCATTAAGCAGATTTATCTCGTTGCAGTCACCGCTGAGCATTTCAGCTCAGTCGTCGAACGTGGATTTCCTGTCCGTAATAGGATTGACACGTGCCATAGAAGGAGGATGATTGACAGTATCTCAACCATGGTTGACAAAGATTAAACATATGCAGGTAGACTGGCCATACACTCGCATAGACGTTTTAATGAGTCTGCTATGTAAACTAGTACGAAAACTATCAGATTCTGTAATACTAATCTACAGTAAAGACGGTTCTCAGATTTATTTCAGGCTTCACTTTTCAACATTAGATTCATTATACCTTACTGTAGTGACATGAAAATACACTTATATGTGTACCTTTTAGGAACGCTGTTTTCAGAGGAATTATTGCAATGGCGAGATGTTGTTTCACTCAGTTTCTGAAAGTTCAACATTTAGTATCGCATAGGTGCTTTTTTGCGCCGCTATCGAGAGCTATCCAGTAGAGTGTAAAGGTAGTATTAAGCTACGTTTAAACTGTATCGGACAGCTTGCGTAGCGACGCAAAAACCATACCGGATAGGGTATTATACCAATGATGTAATCGAATGAAGTGCCGTTGCGGCGCCTCGTTCTGCCAAATGGTGCGTGTTGTATACATAGCCTTAGTACAGGTCGGTGGTTAGTACCAGTCATATATATTAATATATGTAACTAGTATTTCGCTCGAAACGTCGAAATTCTCTTTATATTTTTCAGATAGTTGCATCCCTACCTAGGAAAACTAGTTAACATATTAGTGAAGGTCGATACCAAGTACTCGGATTCGATACCATCGATGCCACAAACAGCGGTATCGGTGTCGATTACTATGACGTGATATCGTTTATACTAGACAATTTTTTTAACTTCACTTCTTGGTTGAATAGACTCATAAGCGACTAAAATAACTCTTAATATTCAAAATGTGGTGCGCCGAGTCATGTATGGAAAATAGTTATTACGTTTTGTGCTATTGGTTTATTTATAGCTTTATTTAGGTTGATGAAAAATGTCTTTCCGCTGACCGACAGGTATCGAAAGTAACCGAGTCTAGCAATTTAAGTACTCACTTCTGGTTTCCAAAATAGAACTTTTGTGTCTATTTTGATATCGGAATAAGAAACCAGTATCGATCGATACCGAATTTCAAAATATCAGTTTCGCGGTATTGAATTAAAAATCCTGGTATCGTCCATCATAATAATGTATATTAATAAATATTGTTAAGTTACTTCCGATGCAGTTCCAGGAACAAATTAACATTTTCTGCTAACTTCACTTTCATCTTAGCAACCTTATTCTCGTCAGTGATTTTCAGATTTCAGCTGTATAAAGTCATCATTAGAATTTGACATCGTTACATCTTGGAGTGAAAGGAATTGCTAAAGGTAAAATTTCAGATTACATTCTACATTATGTTTCTATGTATCAAAATCAGTATAAATATGCCTATGTATATATAAATATCAGTAAGCGAGACGCGCACGAATGCTATAACTATTAGACTAAGTGCTGAAGCAACTGAATAGAAATTCTTAATAACCACACGCAAAGTATGTTCTCTTTAATTTCTTATATAATAATTATGGCTTACGAATCATTAACCAAAGTATTGAACAGTAGTGTTTCCGGACGGAATCTTACAAAACCGCGCGAGTTATCGTTGATGTAGACTGTGTTGGCTAATAGATCAGTTCTGCAAGTTCAGATTATTCATTTGTATAAAGATGAATTCAAATCATGTGAATTTTCCACGTGAAACATGTCAAATTTATATTATTTGAATTGATTTTTACACAAATGAATAATCTGAGCTTGTACAAAATTATGAGAAATAGGAAGTTCAGGGATTTCCCCCTTTGCGTAGGAGTAACAATCTAGCTATGTTTACATGCAGTGCAGTCTCGGCCTGTATACGTTGGCCAATTCAGTAAAGCAAAACTGCCAAGGCCAGGTCTAGGAATAAATGCAGTGTTAACGCGGGTTCTAATGCTAAATTATACTTATTTTGTTAAAACTTTTGCGATATGAATACATTGGAAAGCTAATAATTTAAAAATAGTTTGCATGCTTTTATTCAATATGTTATATGGAAAGCGAAACAAGTTTTAATTCTTCTTCTTTGAATTTGGCCGCTTTTAATTAATTCAGCAAACGGGTAGCCACACGTACGTAGCGTTAAATTATTAACTCAAACTGTCTGAAAGCTGCGGATTGAAAATGATTCAACTACCCGGAATATACAGTTAAAACTTCGACGTTTCAAGCGAAAGCCCTTTATCGAGAAGTTAGTGGTTCCATGATTGTGTTGAAGCATCTCAACTTCTCGTCCTTGTATACTATATATATAAATGGCAATTTCTTTAAAATAAAAAAATAGTTTGAACTTAAAAGGTGGTTATTTAATTTTATGGTGATTATTTAAACTTAGTGTTCTTTGATCATACTGCTGAAATGTATTGTATTTGCTGAAGGATATTATATAGAGCTCCGTTTAATTTAATTTGATTAGCTAGCTAAGACATTCTTTGATAATGTGTTTCAGTTTCACTGAACGTTTAAACGTTCACCGAAATTGCTCATGCCATGTATGAGTACTATACTGTATCACTTTCGGGAACGGTTTATTTCATAATTGCTTAACGGTTAGTATTCTTTCTTTGTGTTTCCACATACAACGACAGTGCAACTCAATGCATGGTTTTGATTCGGTAGGGTGAGGTTAGGGAGGTCATTGCCCCACAACTTTATGTTAAATAAATCGTTTGTTGCAAAATTGGATCTTAAAAAGCTGCTGACAAACTCGATCTTAAGTTGAAAAGGGGGCTGGAGGATTCTACATTTATTTGGACACGATGGAGTTGTATACTATATAGGCTATAGCATATCGCAGCAAAATTCTGTTGCAGTCGTGTATCCTAACTAACTGTTTTATACGTGTTGAAAACGACAACTAATTAATACACAACATAGGACGTTCCCCATTCCCCTGACCAAGAAAGGGAATTTCTGGCTTTCTTTGGCTACTGAAGCAAATTTCGGTATTGATCTTGCATGTATATAGGGGACATATACAAAAAACAGATTTTGCCCGCTCGAAATATCAATTAAAACATTTAAAGTATTCAATTCTACATTGTTTTTAGCTAAAATTACCCCTTGCTTTCGAATTTGAACCAAAAATGACAAACAAATCCATAAAGCGAAACAAAATTGTGCTAACCTAAGCTATTTTTAAATGTTTCTCGCGCAGGCCATCCGTATTTTTTTATAATTATTACGTTATGCGGCATAAAGGTTTTTCTCTTCTCACCTTTTTATTGTATTCATGCAATCACAAATTCCTGGAAAAATATTGAAAATGACCGATACTAGCCTAAATTCTATATCCTACCGTCCTGAATTATTTTATTGTGCAAGATGCTTTTTTCTCCACCATATTGAATTTATTGTTTGTCATTTTCCAGAGTTTCTAATTTAAGCCCGAGTTAACCTTCGCACATAATGGGTAGTGATTCTGATAAGTTTGATTGCACAATACCGAGGAGCCCAATTACAATGTTGCAGTCTTTTGGTCTTGTACTAAAGAAGCTAGTACCTAATGCATTGCTTGGCGCGTTAGGGACACTGTGTGAAAGCAAAGCCGAATTTGAACATCATATTTCCGTTGCAATTCCACAGTCTGGTTTTGATACAAATACGAGCAACAGTCAGAAGAAAACTAAGTCAACTGGTATGGCACCACCAAACATGGCTGATCGACAATCGATTTCCGAATTACTGAATTCTATATCTGAGATAAAAGTTGTGTTTTCAGAAGCTTTTCATTCATTAGACTTGTTTGAGAACTATATCAGAACGCCAGGTCAGGAAACTGCTAAACCTTTGAAATCGTTGTTTGACCGTGGAAAAAGCGCCATTAACGAGCTTTTTACACCAGAAAATACTGACATCTTTTTAGACTTTTTGCGTACATTTTTAATTAGTCAGTCTTCCCAGGACGACAATAACGAAGGCAAAAAATATCAAGAATTTGTTCACGAAAGCTCCAACCCTGTAAATAGAAACTTGAAAAACAATAATGATTTAGATTCTCAACCAAACAGTATTTCCAAGGAGGCATCCCAATTAGATTTTGAAAAAGAAAAATCGCGTCCTTGTTCACCAAAATTTGAAACCAACAAAACGAAATTTGAAAGCAAACTAAGTAATGCTAAGCAAAGTGATGATACAAGACACCCAGAAAGTATATCCGAAATACTTCAAGATAATTCGACGCAAGCTTCGCAGGAACCAAGGGTGATGCATAAAAAGAAACCGGACAAAATCCAGACTACGAAAGCGAAAGATTTCGTAAATTTGCACCAGGAGGCTTCAGGTAGTCAACTAGGTGACAAAGACATCTTTGATTTACTAAAACCACCAGCCTTGATGAAGACAATGAAAAAACTGGAAGACGAAAATCTTTCTCTCCGAAAACAATTGGAGTCATTAGAAATTAAATTCCATGAATACGAAAAGATTTTGGTTGAACTTGGACAAACCACTGTTGAGGAAACTGCGAAAATAAACGAGGAAAGAAAATCTGAACTCTTTCAGCGAATATTTCGTTCCCCAATATCCAAAGCTAAACGATCTGTTGTGGCCATTGGCTACCCAAATGACCATCAAAATGGTTATCAAAAAAGCTCTCGTGATGTAAATACGTTCCCAAAACCTCAAATTAAAAGTGAAAGTGCAAACCCTCCACAACCTAATGCTTCAGTTGTCCATCTACCTGCTTCTAGTGAACAACCTGTCAATGGGGCCGAAGCCTTAGTGCCAGGAAGTAAGCATCAACACGATGGAGAAAAGAAAATGAACACAGGAAACAAAGATGAAAACGAATTTCGTGGAGAGAATCAAGAAAGGTCAGTGGAATTAACCATCGGGGATAACAGCGAAAACCAAATTCGGGCAACGCAAAACTCGTCAAGTGTTACATATAGAAAAAAAACAAGTAGCAAAGAAGGAATCAGCCTTTACCGAAAAGTCAAGCACACTAGTGACTTGGCATCCACATCCGGGCAAGGCTATGATGATTTATCAATTTCGATCGAACAAGATGATTCTGGAAGAGAAAGAATATCCCTGTGTAATGTACCACCTACATCAGTGGCAACAACCTTGTACAATAACTACAAGTTTTTGTTACTATCTCTTGGCCAAAGGCTGCTTTCCTCAGAGGTCGTGAAGCTAAGAGATTGGGTAACTCGGAATTTCTCAATCGACAATCCTCAGAATGCTACTGATGCTCTTGTTCAACTTGATCAAAAAGGAGTCATCAATGCTTCAGATTTGAGTCAACTCTGTGATTTCTTTGAGTCCATTGTCAGATTTGATCTTGTGTATATTATAGATGCATTTCTCCTTGGTGATTATAGTTTACTTCGCCAAATTCCAGCATCTAAACACCGCGATGTAAATAGGGCACACAACCCTCGACGCAGAGCCACTTCAAATTATTCAGGTTTGTTTGATGCGGTGAGTACCAGTCAAATGCCAAACAAACCACTTGCTGACGGTACTTTACAAACTATTGGACTGATTGGAAGCACCAATCCAGCAACTTCAAGCAAACCAGAAAAAAGCAATGGAGCACAAAACTCTACCCTTCAACAAACACAACAAGCAGCTTCAACCAATTCAAAACATTACTCTAGGTCTCCCAATAAACACCAATCCACGATCCCTGAGCAGCAAACCCTAAAACCTCTTGCAACTGGTTTTCCTCCCATCAGAATGGCTGATGTAGTTGCTGCTGATGGTTCTGTTACAAGTAAGTGCACTTTATATTTTTAAGGTATAGGTATCTATGAAACAATTAGAACGTTCCATTTGAGGCAGGGAGGGTGCAGAGATTATTGACTGTAATTTAGTTAAGCTTGTCGTCTCTGAAGATTGAATCTTGTTCTCCAAATGTCGAAACTTGCAACTGTAAAACACTTTGACCTCTATAGTGAAAAGAGCAATGGATGTAATAATTCAATGGGTGCAGGTCTCGTTCTGAATTTACATTCGTCAATTTATATTGGATTCTGCCTTTTGCACAACGAAACTTCAACTCTATTGATACTCGATTACATAATATACAAATCCGTTGTTCCTTTTGTTGAAAGATGTCCAAATTATGCGTTTGCACGTGTCTTAACTATTAACTTTCATAGGATAGCCTTTACTGAATTAACTGTATACAGTAGGAACGGCGCTTTGATCTAAAACAATTGTCTCAGCAAAAATGTGAAGTGTAGTTTATTCTTGCAGAGATTTTAGATCCTTTCAAGGTCACATTTCTGTGTGACTTCCATATAGATAACGTAGTTCAGTATCTGAAATTACATTGCAAGTTGGATTGAAAATGAGGCATTGTTCTAAGAATTTTCTAATTTAACTATAAAACGTTTTATATCCGTTGTTGTTTTCTGGAGCATTCCTCACTGCAGTAACAGCGCACGGATAAAATGAGATGGATATCTGGACGTTTCCAGCGACTACACATAAGTGCACATTGTGTTTTCTCCTACAGTCACACTAGCGAAATAAGAGCTAAGATGGTCCTCACCGGACCTATAGGAATAAAGCTGTTTAAAGCCGATATAATTCTCTTGTGGAAGGGTTAGAGGGAAAGTTTCCTATAATTTATTTCTACTGTTTGAAAAAACAGACGAAACAAGAATAATGACAAGAAATTCTTCCCCAAGAACTGATCCATCAGTGGCAAACAGCGCACGAAACACTCAGACAGTCGGTAGTAATGGTTTAAAACATTCCAAATTCCAACGTCAAGACACAGAACGAAGCAACGTTTCTAATTTCCAGTCCCCCAGAGGTTCTCGAAATCGGGACCTAGATGTAGCAAATAATTGGTTATGCAGTCATTACAAACGGCATTGCTACGTCAAATTCGAATGTTGTGACACGTTTTGGCCGTGCCATCGTTGCCATAACAACCAAAGCACGTGTGGTCACAAGAGGCTGAAGTCACGTGACACAAAGATGGTTAAGTGTGCACATTGTAACAAAGTGCAACAGGTAACGCAAATTGCTGTCTTATTTTAAGTTTTTAATTTGTATCGACGACTCATTAAGTTCATATTCGTAGTCTGAGTAAAGGCCTGCCCATGGCGGTCTCCGATGGATAAAATTCATTATATTTTTACACTTTGAAAGTTTATATTTAATCTTGTTTTTTATATATTCTTGGTGTTTTGGATTATTTTTATGTAATATCAAGGAGTTATATGCTGATTGATGATTTAAGATCATCAAACTTTTGCAACTTGGTCGAACCCTAAAACGCAAAAAATGCGCAGCAACAGACCGTAGATTTTAAAATTTCTTCTAGAATGCCTCCGAATTCTCTTGCAGATTAACTGTATTATGTAATATGAATGAGTCGAAGTTGCTAACAGATTTAGCAACAATAAAATATAACCAAACTATAAAATATCAGAATTGAATAATACTTAAATGTGCTTCTGGTATTTTTTGGTTCCCGTGTGTGGAAAACAAGAGTTGCAAAAAGTTCTCAGCGTTCCTTCGGGTAGAATTTCAAGTTTTTAAACCTTGCTGAAAACAATGTGAATTATAGAATTTCCATATTGGGAAATGCATAAATTATGCCATTCAAAATTGGCATCTGATAAGTGTTTAGCCTTGATCAGTTGGTTGATCACATTGCATGTTATCGCCAGCGTTAGCAAATGTTGCAGCAGAAAACAACTGCTGCAATTTTGGTTTGTTTAATAACAAACACCAACAAAGATGTTGGACACCTGTACATTTTACAGCATTATTTTTCATTTTATTGTTTTCTCTTCGGTATTATCCAGTGTGATAGTCATGCGGTATTGGTATACTATCACAGTAGTTACCAGCACAACATCAGCATCCTGCCAACCTCGACCTGTCAAGTATCATTTGTTTAGTGTTAGTGTTGAGCAGAGTGTTCCGCATTAAACGTTCCTCACAGGTGGTACCCGCATACCCGCAGCTTTTTGGGAACCCTGTTCAGTCATGATTTGCGTTCAATCATAGTTGTTTCAAAATATTCAGTAAATTCAAACCAACATATCAAAACTATTGCTTTTACTATTTAGTTCGGTCAATTTTGCTGCGATTGTGGTGCACAATTTTCCGAGTATTACTGTGGATTGTGCAAACATTTAACTGGCAAAGATGATCATCCCTATCATTGTGAAAGATGCGGAATCTGCAGGTATGATTTAGTTAGCTTTCATAACACTGTCTTGTCCTATGGAAAACATGATTTAATTACTGTTTTATTGAAATGCATTTCATGAAAGATTCATACTATATAAAACAAATGAGGTTAATAGTTTTCTCTTTTCCGCTTTTCACCTCTGAAAAACGAACAATATGCTGTTGTCTCATCATAACTGCGCTTCACTTGCATTTGAGAGAGTGATTCCAGTCTTTGGCTTCCTTTACATTTTGGATGACAACAAAACGAAGTTATTATCTCGCAGGAAATAATTATTTACAAAATTAAGCGAAGGAAAGCAAAGCAAAGCAGAGCAAAGCAGAACAGAACAGAGCAAGGCAATGCAAAGTAAAGCAAAGATTAGACACAAAGTGAAGGTTAGACGAAGAGCTTACAAACTAAAGCTGTTTGCACGCACGTAAACTGCTATACCCATTCGAGTTTTTAACAGCTATACATTAATTCAAGAGAAGAAATTGTGCATTTGCTTATCACAAAAATATCCTTCTTTAATTGAGAAACAGTTAGAGCTTGAAACCAGGGGCGTTGGAAGATTGTAAAAGTTCGGGAAGCCGACTCACACGAGGCGCCACCGTGGTTGGGGCCGACTATGAACAATTTTGAAAATTTTGAGTCTCCAGATCGTCGGAAATGGCATTTTCAGGGTCTTCTCTACCACTTTCGTTAAGGCCCTTTCAAATCTTTTAATATGATTTGTAAGCAATAAATATGTTTACTTCATGGACTGGCTAGATGATAACTATTTGGGCAAGTAAATACCGCTGCCTAACAAGCGGCATAGACCAAAATGTCAATGATCCAATGACAAAAGACAAAATATAAACAAAATATTAATAGACAAAAATGTTGTTATTAAAATAACAATGAACGGTTGTAGATACGTTATTAATATGACATACGGTTTCAAATATTTCCAGTTCCGAGAATTTCGCAATATTGTTGATTATTTTTTTAATCCAATAATTTTTTTTGAGGGGGGCGAAAGCTATCCCGCCCCTCCTTTTCCCCTTATGAAATAGTAGGGTGGTGGTGGTCCCCCTGCGCCCTACTCCCGTGCGTAGTAAGTAAAACCAAGGATATAGAAGCACCAATTTAAAAAAAAATGTTATAGCCTTTGAAAAGTAACTAACGTTTAAATTCGCCAATCAGAATGCACGAGATGTAGTAGCCATTCAAGAATTTCCACTACTGAGCTAAGGATGGACCTTACTGGTCCACTGGGCAAAACAGTCTAAAACTGCTGGAGCTTTTGCAGTAGTAGAAATAGATTCAGTGAAACACTCTATTTTAATTTAGAATTCATGGAGACCGTTCGTTCCATTGTGATGTCTGTGGTGTTTGTTTGGATGTTCAACTTCGTGGAAATCACAAATGTCGTGAAGGTTCTGCACATGATGAATGTTGCATTTGTTTGGAGGTAATGTATCAATGTATATGCCTTACCGCATGTCTATGCCCGTTGCCTCTCAATTTATATTTTCGGACTTACATGCCCAGTAACTATATTTGTTCTAACAATCTATGCATTAAATGGACCATGATGATCAAGCATTTCTTTACGTATTTGAATTCATCGGGTTCCAGCGGGCACAAAATGCGTGAAATTGGAACTACGATGCTGTACTTTGATCGCATGTGCACACTTGCAAGTCGCAATAAAGGTCATTTTTGAATTTTTAAATTTCCACATGGCAAAAGTATTATAAATATTTTAGTTTATTCCTAGTGCGGTATTTTTATATTTTTATATAGTTAAAAGTTAATCTCTGTACAAATGTAGAAAAACTAGGAATGGTAGTAACTTATATCAGGCTAATATTACACTAAATTCTTCAACAGGTTTTGTTTTGCAACCAGCGATTTCGGCAAGTTGCAAGGGATCTACCATATTCTCAGATTTTGCATTTACAACATCGCGTTGTACAATCTACTATATACTGTTGGAACCATATTTCAAAGTGATAAAGGAAGGAAGTATAGATAAAACTATGATGTCTTTGATTTTTGGCCATGGGCCAAATAACAATGGAAAACTAGTGAAAATAATTTCCGTTGGAAAATCACAATGAACGTGAGATGCCATCATGATTCGCAAGTCATGAAATTAAAAACAAATTTACAAGCCCTTTTGTCATTGTAAATACATACTGTATAAAGATCGGCAGTTAAAACTGTAACCCAAACTTCGCATTGATAAGGATGCAACCACCTAAAAAAATATAAGGAGAACTTCGACGTATCGTGCGCCCTTCGTCGGGAAGTTAATACCCACTAACTTCGTTTTGTGTCAGTATACTAATTTCTCGACGAATTAAGAGCTTCGCTCAAAACGTTGAAGTTCTCCTTTTTTTCAGGTAGTTGTATCCCTATCAATCCGAAGTAGTCTTATTAAGCCGGTTTTCCACTTCGCCCGTACCGTATCGAAACTTAATGGTGAGCATGCGCAGATTGAAAAGAGGCTTATAAATCCACGTACTTCCGGGTGTATTCGCGTATCAAAATAAAAAGTTCGTCGCAAGTCAACTTTTTGTACTAACCAGTACTAACCAATCAACATTCACAAAATTTTGAAATTTAAAAACGTTTTTGATACGTTTCGGTACGGTACGCTTGAAGTGGAAAACCGGCTTTATTGACACTATACCTACACTGGAACAGACCATTCAAGCATATATATATTTTAAATAGTACTTTTAAATCTTTTTAAAAAAAATTTTTGCTTATAGGATGCTTTCACTGGATGCCAAATTCTTCCATGTTCTCATAAAGTGCACAAAGAATGTGCAACTCAAATGATACGCAGCGGAATGTGAGTACATTATACTGTATATTTGTAAATTGATTATGTTCAGTACGATTGGAAAGCAAGTAATGCATGTAATTGCATGGTATGTTTAGTATCGTACGTTGAACCCAGTGAGTATATCCAGTATTATATATTGAAGGCTTTAAAGAAAGTCAGCTGGTGTGTTTTGAAAGGCATACGTGAAAGAAATTCGCTAATTTTTTTTACAAATGAACAAGTTCACAAAATAAATAAGGAATAACAATGCTTGTGATGTTTGAAAAAGTTTTTCAGGCGACTCATGCAATTTTGGCAATATTTTTCAAATATAATTCGTACTGATTATCCTATATTGTTGCGCTCATCGTCAAATAATTGTCTATACCAATGACTAATTATAATACTAATATCTTAATTATTAGTTAATTATTTGATTCTGATTGGTTAAAAACCTTGTCAATTACGATTAAAAGTCGCGTATTTTTTTTTCGAAAAACGCTCAAAGCTTAGCCAGGGTCATTTTCGACGCCCTTCAGCCGTGGAGGCAAAATGCCCTGGGAACGAGGTTGATATTTTTTGAGCTCTTATTTTGCCATGAGCGCTTTGATTATGTTTAAATAATAAAGAAAAAGAAGAAGTAAAAATTATTCACATTAATCGTTGCTGATTACTCGTGTAAAATTGACTAAAATGATATTAATAGGAAATTACACTTGTTCTCGAAGTATTAATGAAAGGTCACACTTGTGTTTGGCGAAATATTTCCCCCCCCGCCGAGCCAATTAAAGGTCCAGACAAACCGGACGCGATTTGACAACGCGACGCGTTTTTTTAGTTTTTGAATGTTAATAAAACAGCCAATAAGAACAAATTTTAAAAGATATGTAGACCAAATAACTCAAAATGTTATAGCGTTTCTGAATATTTGGAAAATTTAAACTAGGATCAAAGTTATCGGTCAGTGAAAATCGAAAGATCGCGTCGCGTTGTCGAATCGCGTCCGCTGTGTCTGGACCATAACGGCGCGGAGCGCCGTTCCGCCCGTAAGCCCGGGGCGAAAGTACTAATTCCGCCCGGTATTTACACCCGGGAAAACGAAAGCATTAGCGCAGTCTGAAGCCATCAATGATCGCATGTGTGAGTGACCAACGATGGGTGGTCATCCTCACTGATCTCAAAAATATGGCGGACTGTCGTGAGTAACGAACACTGATTGGTCAAATCAAAAGTTTTTTAGCTTTTTAAAAAGTAAAGGCGAAAGAATTGTTAAAGGAAGGGAGTAAAGGCGCCGACGTTAACGAAGGTAGATTTGTTTTAAATTTTGATGCAGTATTGTTCGCTTTATAATTGCAGAAAAACTGATCGTTGACGTCGCGTATATTTTAAGTGAAACAGGCAGCATATAATTTCAGTATTTCCTTATTGATTACCCTTTTTATATTAAAATTTTCAAATAAAAAGAAAGCAAAGTTTTTTGAATGCGAGAATTTTACATCATTTTATTTCAAACTCAAAATTTTTCGATAAGGTAGTTTAGTTTTATAAAGAATATTTTAAAACGTCTTGCATAGCGTTTGAGGTTGAATTTTTCCTTAAATTGAAGCTTATATTACGTATAATGACAAACCTAACATATATATGTTTGGGAAAAAGATAATTTTGTAATTAATTAAAAGTGATATTTTTCGTAAAAACATTCTTCACAAAATTATCGTGTTACCATGACAACTACTTTAAATACTTCATGTTCGGAAAATACAATGGTTTTGTCAGCAAGGCGAGGGGTTTCTGCATGCATGTATTTTTAATACTACTATAAATGCTTTTTTTAATACTACTATAAATGTATACTACTACTATAAACGTATACTACTACTAGAAAATACATGCATGCAGAAACCATCGCCTTGCTGACAAAACCATTGTATTTTCCGAACATGAAGTATCTACAGTAGTTGTCATGGTAACACGATAATTTTTTAAGAATATTTTTACAAATGAAAAATCGCCTAAAAATATCACTTTTAACATAGACAGCCCAAAACGGCGTGTAGAATGCACCAAATGCTTCCAAATGTCAACTTATATTAAGCTCGCCCTATTCCTCTGTTATTTGTCGCGCGCGCAAGCACTCAATTGAAAAGCAGTGTTGATATATATATATAGATTATATTTAACAAATATAAAACATTTTCCGTGTTGATATAACTATATATCAATACGGAAAAAATGTTTTATATTTTTTTTATAATATAGCAATGTCAAAAGCCCGAAGAATAAGAAAAATTTCCGTGTTTACAAGCGGCGGAAAATTTCCCGTGTTGACATGGAGTTATATCAACACGGCTCTTAGCCAATTAGCGTTCAGAATTTACAAATACTATATTATAACTATATATATCAACACTGAACAGGTGGGCAATTTGTCGACGCTGACCAAAAATAGCGGCTCATTTCTTTTTGAGTTGCCATTTTCGCGTCGAAGAGCAAAAATATAGACTGTCGGAGAATATTTTAGCTGTTTACTATCAAATATGTTTGTCAAACAGTTCATAATCTCACTGAGGAAGGCCAACGGTTTCTGAAAAGCTAAAGTACGTCGAAATCAGCGTTGGAATAGACTATATTTTCACCGGGGAAACATGAACTAAATAGATATTGACATCAATACTAAATTTCTCTCGTGCCTACAGAGCTAGTTGGATTAAAACAGATGTTAAGAAGTAAGTGAAAATGTGAATTTTGTGAATTATACTTTCATTAAAAAGTTTCAGAAGGGCTGCTAGTGTCAAACTACACGTGTGACAGAGCTGTCAGTATACCCATATTTCAATGTTTATGTTGAAATGGCCCATCTTCTTTGAGGTATAGCTTAAAAATTAGGGTATGCTCATCACTTGAAACTAGCTTTAAATCAAAGTTTTATCTATAGTCTTTTTATTAGAATTGAAGTCATTCATGGAAAAAATGTGCCAGAGGGTTGAAATTGCCCTTGTAAATGTACACTATTTTTGATATGTTTGGGTTAGTATTTTGAAAAGGTGTTCTGGAAGAAAAATATGTCTTGAACAATACTGGTTGACCCTTAAATTATGACTAGTGTTGTGTAAATCACAGAAAATTGAAAAAAGTCTGGTCCATACACAATATTTTGGATTCTATGAGGTCCCAAATGCGGCTTATTTCAATGTTTAATCTGTTTACGTGGAAAAACATAGAAAATTGAATAAGTCAAGAATTTGACTATGCTCATCACCCAAAACCAGGTTTTTCTAATTGCTTTTTCACCTGGGTTTGTGGCAATACCAGTTATGCGACCACGAAAAATGCGCGCGGCACTTTTTTTGGACACTGAAGATGACAACATTTGATGTTGTTATATATTGCCATCCTCTTATCATAGTATAACTTAACTTATTTTAGTGAGTTTGTTAAAGAATTGTGCTCACTATATGCCTGTAGCATCTAAAAAAAATTTCATAGCATTAGATGATAAATTTAAGTTCTGTTTTCTTTTATTTTTAGGTGATAGTATCTGTTCACATGTGTGTTGGTATCAAATTTTGCACAAGATTTAATTATTATTTCACATTCCTTTATTGAAATATTCAAATAAATAGAATGTGACATCAAGCTGGAGAACTAAATACTGTTTCCAAACTTGTTTTTGTAAAAATAGAAAATAACAACTTATTATGTGTTGTTCTAATAAAAACTATGGTTTTTGATATGCATATTTAATTTTTGAAATTACATTTCATTCTTTGTTAAAATGTGTACCAGGAATACTGAAATCTTTCAGATCAGCTAACAATACCTTTGTAACTTATATAGCCAAGTGTTCTGTCTATTTCTGTTCAGATTAATCAAATGATGGGTAAAATATTAGATTAGATTTTTTCAAAAAAAATGAGCTTGCCTGTTTTCAAAGCGTAAAAAGCACTAAAATAGAGTAAAAGTACTTATTTTCAATATAAAACCTTTGGAATGCATAGCTTAATGTTTTCCACTAAATATTACAAAGTCTTCGTTCATTAAAATGTTGTTTTATCAGTTTTAAAAGCAAATAAATTCACGAAACACTCCCAATAAATGTCGCCATATTGATTTTCTTCGCGGATGCTCAGACAAATTGCCCACCTGTTTCAACACTGCTTTTCAATTGAGTACTTGCCATAGATATAGGAGATCTAGATTGCTAACGCATACCTAGCGCAGGTGGGGCCTACATGATAAATCCAAGATGGCGGTACAACAGGGCAAAAAGACTATAGATTCTATTACGAAAATCAGGATTTTTGCATTTTTTGCCGTCGCATTGTTTTGAAACCTATTCGGTCAAATTTTATGGTAAAGAGAAACTTACCGCGAAGATTTTGAGCATATATATGATTGAATTGGATGAAAAATCGCAAAATTATCCAGCGATAAAAGTTCGTGTGAAATGGTCAGTTGGTCAGTTGGAGCGTTTTATTGCCAGAAATACTGTGCTATGTTAACATCTAGCCTTGTGAATGGTGTTTTATACTTGCATCTCTCATCATCATCTGCTCTGTCCTCATAATTATGAAAAATGAACTGTTATGTACCCCCCCCCCCTTGCTTGTTAGAGAAGTAAACTGATGAGAGCACTGGATGAGGGTCTATCATCTATGGTCTGTTATAATTTGCTTTTTATGCAAATAGTGAGCAAAAATTAAAGCAAAACTGTACAAGTTACATATGTAGTACTATATCAGTACTATACACGAACTTTTATCGCTGGATAATTTTGCGAGTTTTCATCCAATTCAATCATATATATGCTCAAAATCTTCGCGGTAAGTTTCCCTTTACCATAAAATTTGACCGAATAAGTTTCAAAACAATGCGACGGCAAAAATTGCAAAAATCCTGATTTTCGTAATACAATTTATAGTCTTTTTGCCCTGTTGTACCGCCTTCTTGGATTTATCATGTAGGCCCCATCTGCGCTAGGTATGCGTTAGCAATCTAGATCTCCTATATCTATGGTGCTTGCGGCGCGCGACAAATGACAGAGGAATGGGGCGAGCTTAATATAAATTGACATTTGGAAGCATTTGGTGCATTATACACGCCGTTTTGGGCTGCCTATGCTTTTAATTACAAAATTATTAATTTCCCGACAAATTATATATGTTAGGTATGTTATTATACGTAATATAAGCCTCAATTTAAGGTAAAATTCAATCACAAATGCTTCGCAAAACGTTTTAAAGTCACTAGTGTTCTTTATAAAACTAAACTTCCTTATAAAATGGCTGTATCGATAAACTTTTGAATTTGCAATAAAATGATTTCAAATTCTCGCTTGCAAATAACTTTTCTTCCTTTTTTATTTAAAAAATTCAATATCATAAAAACGGTTTCTTATGTTTCTATTTTTCCTGTCTAACATTGCTATATTTGATATCTTTCTAATTTCGCACTACCATCAACTAGACTTTCGGAAACACACTAACACTTTCCGTTTTCTTTTTTCACAGCACACGCTGCCCAATCTGCCGTGAGAGTTTTGCGCACAAACTTGAACGACGACCACTGCCAAATTCACGAACACGTTCGGGAAAATAACTATGGATGAACAGCCAGTAGCAAGACTTTCATAAACTTAAGACAAATGTCGTAGAATTTGAATTTCTGGGTAACCTCGGCTATTCACTTCGTTACTGTAAGTATTTTATTTTACTTGAAACAGCTATCATCGTGGTAACCTCAAATTGTTTTTATTTCCGATGTTATACACTCAGATGAAGATATTAGATATATGTTTGTGATATTGTCTCTGAGTACGTCCACACCGGGCAAGCTGAAAAGATTATTTGACTGCGTTGGAAATCGTTCATGACATTAAAAAATGATGAAAATTTCTGTATTTAATAGTTGAAAATTTCTTCGTCTTAATGTTCCTGAAGATTTTTAAGAGCGGCTCCAAAATTATACAGTCCGTTCTGGGAGTAATTATTGTACATTAGTCTCTGCGATGCGTGATACAAGCATTTTAATTAGGATCTACATTCTTCCAAAGCCCCGAAGCATGAAAATATTATAGTCGTCACCATTTCGTTTATAATGTTGTAGTAAATAGCATTTGGAGACAAGTAGTAATTATTATTTGGACACATTTATTAACGTTAAAACTTTACATACATGAAAAATGGATATTAAATTAAGAATATACACCTATAAATGAAGGACAAATAAGGTTGGTAGTATAGTACGTAAACAGGACACGAATCGTATTTTAAGACCAACCCAAGAATGACAACAACCCAAGAATGAGATGCAATCATCTACACACTGATATATTTGAACACATATTAACATGAAAGCAACAAATACTAATATAAAAGCAACAATCTTGGTCGTAGGAACGACACTTGGAGAAATAAGTCCTCCAAGAGCCCTCCATTGTATTGACGTCAAAGGTAGATTCAAGCTTGGAAAGGTAGTGAGAATACTCAATACGAAAGGAAAGACTATAAGTTCCAAAGGAAAACAACCCAGTTGAAAAACTAGTCTCTAAAAAGGGAAGTTCTGCAAAGATTTGGAGTTACTATGCTTTGTTGGTTTGTACGAGTGCGAGACACGGAGACAGATAGACATCTGATCATAAACGCATTGTATAAACACTTGAAATAGAACAGAAGGTCCTTTACATCCATCCAGTAATATACTGGAAGTAATTTGAGTCGTACAGGATAAGACAAGTCAAAGTCTTAAATCGACAAGAACGCTAAGTTCCCCGACTGGGAATGAGTCCTTACAGGAAATAATTTTTTTCTTCTGTATGTGTTCAACCTGTTCACCCGTTTCGGGTGCATGCTCCTCCAAGAAAATTTTAAATTCTGAATCTCTAAATTTGAGGGTATTGTACAGCAAAATACACGTGCTGCAAAGCATAGTTTCCTAATTCCTTTATTCGTTCCCTGATGCCAACTCCCTTAGTAATCTCACTTATCTTATCAGTGAGGTATGGGCTCTTTGCACGATTTTCTCTCCTGTAAGGTAATTCCTGTGTCGATGTAAACATCAGTTTATGTCGATGTAAACATTTGTGTCGATGTAAACATTCCGCTTCTCATTTATTTAGATCCAGATGGGACGTTTGAGTACAATGACTTGATCCACCGCATTGTTTCTTCATTTTATACTAGTTTAATTAGTGCATGAATGTAGCTTTTAGGAAGGCGAAAATTATGTAATCACGATATCATATAGCGAAATGTATAATTGTGGAAAATCAATATTGTAAAAATCTTTAAGTATAGTTGTATATTCACATGTAAACAGGGAATTATAGTAGGAATGAATATGGAAAACTTATCTTAGGCTGCTTTTAGAGTAGTTCATTGGGACGGATTGACGAAATTAACAAAATCCTTTCAAACTATTTTTTAATTTTCTGTCATTGCACTGATACAAGTGTTGATAACTATTGTACCAACTGATTTCACTTTTCTCTACTGGAATCAGGGCCGTAGTTCACCCATAAGTAATTCCAGGTAAACGATATATTTTAGTGATCTAGACAATAAATCAGGCAAATTTTAATTGCATTGACAGGCAAAGCGGAAGTTAAAAATGACCACATGCCAAGAATGCCACATTTTAATTGCATTTTCATCATTTCCGAGGCTCTAATATTAAAAATAATTCATTCAACTTTCACATTTACACTCACTGCCCCACGAAAAGGTCCTAGCTACTTCCCTGATTGGTTTCCTCAGTTTCCTATGGAAATTGCCGATTTCAGATTTAAATTGAAATGTAAACATGACACATGCAGTTTAATTGAAGTAGGTAATTTGTTTTTTACGGAGCTATTGAGGTTTATATATTCATGTCTTTGAGGTTTATTTATGTCTCAGTGGGTGACACACATTAAGAAGTTACGTGACTTTAAAAAACTGGATATGTTAGAAAGAATGACAATCAACAGTATTTAACTGTATGTTTCAGGACGATCTCTATGTTGGATCGGTCACCGAACTTGGTGGGCCAAAAGAAAAAAATAAAATAATATTAACAGTATCATGTTATATGCAGTTCGTTTCTCAAGGTGATTGAGATCACGTGAACTGGTAGTGAAAATCGCCAATAATCTTAAACCAGACTTATATCGAATAAGTAATACATTGTAAGCAATTGATATAGCTACAATCCTGGACAAAACCATCTGCGACACTTTATCAATACATTCCTATGTGGCTTTTTTTACCAATTAGACCGGAATAATTTATCCTTTGCCTCCCTCCACCCCCCAAAACAATGTTGGACGTTTTAACCGTATTCTATACGAATGCAATCAACATTGATTGGTGGGGTGTAAGGGAGAGGTTTCCTAAATTTGCGATATTACGAAATTTGGGCAAATAATTGAAAGTGTCGCAGATGTTTTGTCCAGGATTGAAGACTTGCACCAAAATATATTCGCCAATACCTGTAACGTACCAAGTAAAAATTAACTGAAATGCTGAACTCCCAGGATGAAACATTTTCGGTATTATTTTGTTTTCACATACTGAAAACAAGAAAAGTTTTGGGCATCTTGCTTGGGAGGAAGTAAAATGTTGAAATCTTTTATTCTAATATACTGAACAATATACGTGAAAAGTTTCAACAAGTATGAACTTCCTGGCAGTACCGTATTTTCCGTATCTGGACCGGTGTCCCGGATGTCGTTTATCTGGCGGGAAATTTTTGCTTTGCGAAACAGAAAAAATTTTTGCTTTTTAATTTTCCAATTGTGTGTTATTAAAATTTGAAGATAAAAATTTCAAACAACCAAATTGTTTTTGATTGAGCATGCATGCCTACCGTATATTGTTACCCAGTGAAACTGACGATAGTCGATTTAATTCGCGCTCACAGACTCAGTTTGGCCATATAATAAACCGATCATTGACCTCGCTTGTTCGCGGTCTGTACTGTGAAATATCAGAACTCTGTTTTTTTGCATGGACCTCACTCCTTCGTCGCTCAATCCATACTAAAAAACCTCGCTCTGATATATCACAGTTTTTCAAACCTTTATGAGAGCCAAAAACCGTCTAAAACGTTTAAAAGAATGGAGCAAAGTCGCCGACGTTAATGAAGGTAAGTTTGTTTTTAATATTGATGTATTGTTTGCTTTTATAATTGCTTTTAGAAACTGATAGGATCGTTGCGTATATAAGTGCAAAAAGGCAGCATATATTGCAGTGTATTTTTATTAATTACCCTTTTTTTGTATATTAAAATATTTAAATAAAGAGGAAAGCAAAGTTATTTTCATGCAAGAATTTAAAATCAGTTTATTTCAAACTCAATGTTTACCGATAAAAGGCAGTTTACTTTCAAGAACATTTTAAAATGTTTTGCGAAGCGTTTGTGGTTGAATTTTAAATTAAATTAAATTCAAGCTTATGTTATACGTATAATAACATACCTAGCATATATATGTTTGGGAAATTAATCATTTTGTAATTAAAAGTGATATTTGAGGGGGCGGATTTTTCAATTTTTGAAAACTATTCTTAAAATTATCGTGGTACCATGACAACACTCCATGTTTGGAAAACATAATGGTGTTGTCAGTAAGGCGAGGGTTTCTGCATGCATGTATGTTCTAGTTATATTATTTTTGACTAAAAAATTACAAATTTTGTCTTCGAAGCGTTGATTGATAATTTATTGGCATTGAGCCATTTCACAACCTTATTCATTTCATTTTTTTATTGTACTATACAAGGTTTTCAAGCACGAATTTGAATAGAAAGCATTCGTATCATCTGCATATAGTATACGAACGAAAGTATATCACTACAGCTTTCGATGTCGTTGATGTATAAAAGAAATAGCAATGGACCAATAATTTAACCCTGTGGGACTCCAGTATATAGTGACATTCATTTTAATTGACCTATATAATGCATTAAATAAAGCTCTGCAATACATAGTCCAATCTACTAATTGGTGAAAATCAGTAAAATCAAAATAATAATGTTCGAATTGATGGTAATTCTACTAACCAACGTCCGAATAATGAACCTAATAGCAATAAACTCATAATTACGTTCTCTGTACCCTATAACACTAATATCACTCATATGGGATCTATCTTGCGTAAACACTCGCATTTTATTCATAAAGACCCAACACTGAAGCTGCTGTGGCCCGAACCACCTACAACCGCAACCATAACATTGAGACTATTGATGACCGCATAGTTAACTCTTACAAAATTAACACCAACCTGACGAACAAAATTACCACCAACCACAATTGACAGCGGGTTCGACATGGAGAGATGCGTTCATTGGTCGTGGGAATACTGGATATTTAGGCCATATAGCAACAGAAACCCCACGTTTTGAATACAAAATGCATGACAACTTGCAATCGCAGCTGTGAATAACCATTGAGCAGACATTGTTGCTTAAAGATTTAATCGTCTTGATTGGCACTGAGAAAGGATTAACATTGACATCAACAGCCATTTTTTATCATATACCATTCCTGAAACCACTCAAATATAAACTTACGTCCTTGGACATGTACTGCTGTTTGCAAGCTACGTACCATTAGGCGTGCGATTCTTTTCATGTATGTTTTCGTTTAAAACGTACAGGTTTGACAGGAAATCGTTAACGTTTTAAAAGCAACCAATCAAAGTTTGCCATGATGTTAGCAAAGTTTCTCATGGTCACCGCCACTCCGCCCACACGTTTAGACGTGTTATTAGCACATTACAGGCATACTGGTAAATACAAGGGCGATAATTACTAACTTGATACATAGTTATTAATTCCAAGGGAGAAAATCTAGACCTGTGCTGAGAAAACGTCTAAACATGTGAGTAATGACCATGAGAAACTTTGCTAAGATCATTGCAAACGTTGATTGATTGCTTTGAAAACGTTAACAATTTCCGGCCAAACCTGAACGTTTTAAACGTAAACATACATGAAACAAATCGCACGCCTAATGGTAATCTGAGATCGGGCTCTATTTTACAAATATAGCCTCACACAAACCTTAATTCGATAGCTTTCCACCCGCGGCAAAGATTATATTTAGAATCCAATCAAAACGTCGCAGGAGAAATTTAAATTTCACACAACGACAACAACAATCTAATTATAGTTGTGATCACTGTAAAATATATCATTAACAATAGTATAATCTAATGACAGATTAAAAAATCTTTTGTCTCATAGACCATATAGGCATGGACTTTTGTTAAGGTTTGCCTTAAGCCTATTTATTTATAGGCCTGAACGCAGGTTTGCCTAATGGTAGCTTGCAAACAGTAGTAATGGCAGTAGTTTTATATTTTCTTCAACAACTTCTGAATCCTTTAATTAATTTTAATTAATGCATGTCAACAACATATTATACCTTAGGCCTATTTTATACGTTGAATTTTGGTCGCGTCGAATGCAATTAAGACAATAGATACTGAGATGATAAACCTCATCAAAACAGTGAAGTTCTTTAGTTCAGTTTAATCTGAATCTGAGTCAAATATAACTGTTGGTTGTGTCTGGTTCGGTGTCTTCTGCTGGAAGAACAGGTGGGTCATTTTCGTCAGAAAATATATAATTTAAAAGGTCAAAAGATTCAAAATTTGTGAATTCCTCCATTTTGAGAATTTTTACAGCAATAAAGAAAATAAAATTCAAAGTTTGTATCCTGAATGCTGATTGGCTAGTTGTAAATACTAGACTGATTTTCATTGGCTGTGGACAAGGGTGCGATTACAGCTCAGAAAAGGTGCGATTGAAGCTCAAATCACACTCCTGTAAGCCAATGAAATTGCAGTATTTGCCACTGATTATACAGAAGATAAATAATTAATAAATAATTGTACTCCTCACAACCAATCAGCATCGAGTAATTTTGTCATGCTAATAATAAATCATAAAATTACAAACATTTTATATTAGTTAAAAGATTTAGTCAAATAGTATAGATTGGATATACTGAGTCAGTCTTCTCAATCAATACAAGAGCAAATCTTACTGTGGTGATGCGTTGCGATTATAAACATGCCACCAAAGGCAAAGCAGGCTCTGTAGCTTAGGCTTAGGCTCTTTATAGAAGGCCCAGTGTAAGATTAGCTTTGCTAAACTGGTTTTTGTAATACCTTTTTTAATTAAAGTCTATTATTATCATTATTATTATTATTATTATTATTATTATTATTATTATTATTATTATTATTATTATTATTATTATCAAAATATAAAGAATTAATTAGGGAACAAAATGAACATTTCAACTCAGTAAAATTTGTAAATCTTTCGATTAGTTCTCTTGGTGTTTTCAGTAAAGAATGTTCTACTTTCATAGAAATGCTTAATGATTTTGGTTTTCAAAAGCAACATCAGAATTACTGTATTAGAAGAATGACGACGATTGCAATCCGAACAACATATTATATATTTTGTTGTCGAAACAAGGAATGGACGAATCCGGAACTGTTAAGTGTTTAAACGTTGTACTGTTATTTTGTTATCTTAATAGTATAATATTGCATATATAATCAGTGATTTAAGTAGCCAGTTGTAAATTACCTGATACAAGTGAGATTTGCAATTGTATATATAAGCTAAATATCCATTTAATAAAGTTTTCATTATTATTAGCCTCTGTATATGTTTAAAACTCATATATAGATAACGGACTAATGTTATTGTCCATTTTTAGGTGAATGTAGCGTGAAAAAGTAGGACTCAATATTACAATAAAATCAGCTGTTACACGAACCCTTTTCTCGCTTATATTCAGACCAATACAGCAGGATCGTCGGGGCCGTAGGGGTTATAGCTCAACGGAATAATATCGATATCACTGACACCAATAACAAGGTTCTTTTTGTCAAATATATATTTTATAATATTGTGCGTCCTCGTGCGTAGCTATTGATAGATGCAAACGCTCTCACTAACCACAGTGAACTCTACTAAGACACGTCTCATGCTAATTAAATTATGCTGTTGTGCATTGTTCATCAATGGTTCATTGTGTGCTCTCATGTGACCATCACGTGCAATAATCGCGCATAACTCTAGTATTATTTCCGTGTATAACACAGCTCTCAATAAAATCACCTTAAGTGCACGAAGTATTTTCGCGACGACTTAATTTAAATGTTGGCTACATATAATATACAGGGTGTCCCAAAAAAACACGAAAACTATTGAAATGAATGTATTGTTAGAATTTGAATGCCTCAGCACTCTGTTGATCCCACACGTGCATCAAAGCTTGACGTAAGTAAATTTTTATGCATAAAGAAACCGTTTAAGAAACTGTTTTAAATTCCCAAGAGCAGAAAATCGTGCGCTTTACAAAGATATTTTAATTTCTTAATAAGTCAATATTTAATATATGCACCCTTGTCAATATTTTACGCATCTTTGCGTTCAGCTTAGTGCTAGGGCACTCAAATTTTAACAATACGTTATTTCAATGGTTTTGCGGGTTTGTTTGGGACACCCTGTGTAGAGTACTCCAGCGGTAAAAACAGACACACTAGACGACAACTGAGTAGAGAGATGCCTGCGGTGGAATCCAGTCCAGTTTCACGCTATGCATATATATACAGTAGTTTACTTAATTGTTTCCTACTGTACCTTCGATTAAATTATAATAACTCCACCTCTCTAGCTATTAAACCTTCTTCTTCAATAACTCCTGAAGCAACAAATAAATACGACAATAAATACGACACAAAGATTTTCTCCCCTTGACAAACTATAGAGGAAATATAGGGGCATGTAGCCAATTTTTGCACACTTCTAATCCGTCCAAGGTGAAGGATTTTTTAATGGTTTATTTAAGAATAACAAGATGAGTCCTTATTTAAAATAGGAAACCACGCCTGCTTTACAGAACAAAGAACTTGGACACAAGTGTCTTGTTTTTGTTCTTGTTTATGGCCATAAGCCAATACATATTACATTACATTACATTGCATTACATTACATATAATATTCTTGGAGTTGACTATATATACGTGTGATTGACACAAGGTATTCCGTTTATTCGTTTCGCCCCAATATATATATGACGACATACAGCATTGAAATAAAGTGAAAACAGTCCTCGCCAACCGTTGCAAACGGAGCTCAAGTTCATAGAAGGTAGAAAAGTTTACAAGAGCAACCGAAAAGGCCCAACCAAGGTAATGTTCTTCAATCACTTATAGTCTCAGTTTACATATTGTATTTGTTATTTATTAGCTAGTTTACGGGAACTAACACTTTC